TTTTTTTTTTTTTTTTTTTTTTTTTTTTTTTTTTTTTTTTTGCATGAAGAACTCATTTTTATTGACATAACATTGTTAAAATAGTCTGAGACTCTTTACATAAGAGACTCCCGGTTTTATTATCACTACTTACATCTGATCAAATTTTTGCATGAAAGTCTTTGTTGGATTGTCTCTAAATTTCCATCACCATTCGCGTACTTGTACTGGTCCAATTTTGTTACAATTACTCAATTAGAGCATATTTCACATGGAGTTAGGCATACAGAACCAACTCAATTAATAAACATCACAAATTCACACGAAGAAACCAATAGCATTGGCAAATTGTAGCAACTGTTGGCATAAATCCGGCCCCATCCAAATGTCAATCTATGTTTGGTTCAGCACTACCATTGCTTTACTTAGAAAGTTGACTAATCTTTTAGTAGAGTCATCACTCATCAGTGTGTAGGATTATCAATTTTGAAAATTTTGTTTTTAATGCTCCTAACATGTTTTCAAGCCTCCGTTTGGCCCCAATTAATTTCCATTCCATTACATTTCATTTTTCTCTCTCCTATTTTCAACAACACAATATTTCACAAAATAATATTACACGTAAATCAAAAACTTCTCTTTCTTTTTCAGCCATTCATTTTTTCAAAAAAACACTATTCCACCCATTTTCATTCCTACAAAATGGGGGCCAAACGGGGGCCAAAATTTAATACTCCTACAGTTGTACAAAATTGATCCTGAAGATAGATGAACTAATTCCAGTGATATAGGTCCTGAGTTCTTAATCGGTTGAGCTCGTGAATATAATATATCATCTGAATTCTGATTCAAAAATGTTGTATTTTTATATGTTTTCGCATATAAATAAATTTCCGGGGAGTGGTTAACACACCACTGCAACTTCTATTCAATGCAGTCAATTCTAAACTGTTAAAACGTTTCCTTCGTGTGACCTCCATCATGAATGCCAACTACATAAGGTATCATTAATTCTAAACATTTTCCACAGCAGAAAAAGAAAATACAATCTAGTGCATTGGCCCCATTCTTCCATTATGTTTTCAGATAAGAATATCGGAGAACTATAGCTGTCTAGTAGTTCTAGCCCTACTTTTGAACTCATCATTGTGATGCTACAGAGGAACCTTAACTGACTAAATACCATATTTTGTGCGATGCAACACTTGCTTCCATGAATGAGCTTTTTTATTTATGGAAGTAACCTATAATATGAGCAGGCCATTTCTTAGTGACCGGCAGTTTAAAGCTATTTTATATAGGCAAAAGCACATTTTAGAGATTTCACACACATGACTTGATACTTACAAATTTTACATAAAATTCAAGATATTTTATTGCCTGCTTGTATTACCAAAAGACTAAATTTAATTACATCATTTATTGAAAATAAGTTTGAAGTTGCTTAGGATAACAGTGAGGAAAATCATAAATTTTACCCACGGGGTCAATCCAACAAAATGAAGCCATCTACATCACATGAGAGCATCCCAACAAAAAAAAGAATAACCAGAAACGGATTTTGAACAGACCTGGTTCCATCAGCACTGTATGCCATTGTCGTGCACCAAAGTCCAGGGGCATCATAATCTACTCTCGATCCCAAGGAATCATAAAGCCATGCTTTTATTTTTCCATCAATGGCAGTAGAGAAGATAAACTGCAGATAAAAACAGAACCAGATTGTTATTTCTCATTTCATCAAATTATATAATGTTAAGTTAAGCCTAAGAAGTTCATGCAGACATCAGTAATAGAAAAGAAAACAGAAATTCTACTTGTGAGCACATTTACCTGAATATTCTCTTTATAGTGAGGACAGACAGAATATACAGGAGCTTCATGACCTTCAAATGTATACTGCTTGCGACCAGCAACAGCATCCCACACCTATAACACAATAATCCACTTAAAAACTAAGAAGTGACATGCTACAAAACTGTATCAAGGTCAAATAAATATACCTTAATTGTCTTGTCATCACCACATGTAACTATGCATAGCTGCTTATTAGGATGAGCGAAGGCAATATCATTAACGCCACCAATATGAGCGTCAATCTGCATGGAAAAAGCAATCCACGCTTAAAACTCCATATGATCATCAAAGAGAAAGAGAGGCGAGAGGGTCAGAGAAGAGCAATGTAATTCTTACCTCTAAGTGTTGTATTAATTCTCCAGCTGGATTGTACGTATATATCTGAACAATGTGCTTCGAAAAAGCAACACCTTCAAAAGCAATGGTATAAATACCAAATAATGCATCAATTGATTGTAATTCAAATGCTGAAAGACAATTTTACTTACCGAGTATAGATCCTTCAGGACCCCATATGCATCGATTAACAGATATGGTGGCATCTTTAACCAATGTTGCCTGGAAGGTAGTTAAAAAGGATTTACACCACATATTTTAAAATCAAAAAAGCAGTTGAGGAACTTAAAGTTTCAACAAAAAACTCACTTGGAATGGCATTGAACAAGCTGATATATCCCAAACCTTGAAGTTTTTCAGTGCTAACCTTTCTCGGGAACCAACTTCCCAAATGCTAATGTCACCAACATTTGTTCCAACTACAAAGTTGATAACATGCAGTCATGTATCAGATATGAACAGTATGAATTTCTCCTCTATAAATTTACAAAATCTAGACTATTGTCTTGCCCAAAAATACAACTCAATCAGAACTTTTGAGACGTTAAAAATCAGAAGCAAAATGATAAAAAGCAATCAAAGATCAACCTAGAAGAACAGTCTGTTGCTGCGGATGGAAGTCCATGCTCATGACATTAGATCCTTGGCTAAGGTTCCGTACAACAGTTTTAGGAAGGTCGTCTGGTGAATAAATATTGGGAGGATGAGATGAACCGGGAAAGGATACCTAGAAAATATAGCAGTGTGTGTCAACGTGGAGGTGAAGAATTATAAAGAATCAATATAGATAATCGAGCAAAAATTGGAGAAAGAAACACGTGAATGGGTTAATGCTCCACACCTCATCTGACTGGCCAGCGCCAATGCGTTTCATTAAATGTTCCGAATCGGCAGTTTGATAATCCATTCCAGGACCACCTGGAGTCGTCCTTGCATGTTTCAGAAACGCAGCTGAGGGTCACATCAGGACAAAGATAATATTAGTAAAAACACTCAAGATAAGGCATGAAATTCTTAACAACTGATCCAAGTCAATGTTTACAATTAGACAACTAACCAGAACTAGTAGCCTGAACAAGACCAGGAGGACCTGCCGCAACAGCAGCATGAGGAATCGAAGGGGTGGCACTTGACATCCAACCTGCAAGGGCACTTGGAGGGGGGGGAACAAGTGGCTGGAATGGCTGCATTCAGAATGTTCGAGCAAGTAAGATAAAAATAAAATAAAATAAAATAAAATATTTGCGGGCAAAATCAAGCACAAAACTTACTCCATGAGCTCCAAGAGGAGGAAAAACACCAGACTTCGGAATTGGTCCAGCAAGAGGGTTATTAGCAGGTGTAGTTGCACGCGTGCCATTACTAGAAGCACAAGTGTGATCCATAAAAAGTGTTTTTATATCTGGGTTTGGACGCGGATTCTTGCAAAGTTGATGCTGCCAGTTTAGACTGCAAATGCCAGTAAAAGAAAATTTGACGAAGCTCAGCTTAACGAGAAAAATGACAAGGCGACCATCGTGAAGGTTTTAAAACAGCCTAAGCTGTACGTTTTACCAACTGTAAAAGCAATGTCGGTAATAACCATATGTAGACATTACACCATCATGTGGGTGCAACACAGAGAGAAAGAGAGAGTCGTTCAGCGAATCAAATCACATTCTATTTAGGAATAATAGCTAACCTTTGATTGATCAATGTCCTCAATCGTGATGCTTTGAAAGAAGGCAAGGTGAGCTTTTCACGAAATAATGGATTTGCTTCTATAAGCTTTTTTAATTCAACCAGCATAATATTTCGTGCTGACTTTGTGTCCCCATATTTGGAGAGCTGCTCATTCTGCCTAGATACATTTTAAAGAAAAATAGAAGGAAGGAATTACTAATAAGATCAAAAGCTACACTAAAGCTAATCAACTAAGTCTTTGATACCTAAAATTGTCAAGAGTTAGAAGCTGGGTGATCTCCTTAAAAAGATCTTCATTGAAAGATGCAAACACCTTCAGATCCTTCACAAGAATCTCAACAGCTTTCGCTCGGTCTTGTCTGAAAAGTATTAAATGTAGTTAACAAAACAATTATCAATGGCCGGGGATCAACAGGTTACTTGAGACGAAAATTACCTATCAAGAGCTTCAAGATATTTTTGCTTTCTTATTTCAAAGAAAATTTTCATCGAATAGCGGTTATCCTCGACCTTCGTGAATCCACTCAAATAGCGTTCAACTTCGTCCCATTCACCTGCTTGAATTTGGTCCTCAAAGTACTTCATATTGAAGAAGAAACCAGATTCTTGCTCCAACCTATATACATTTTACATGTACTTCAATGTCAATCAAGAAAGATAGCAAACAACTAATTTCAGTTGACAAAACAAAAACTAATCATGCACTAGGTGTTTCAAATTTTTCTTGATAATTACTTTGTTTTTATACCTGAAGAACCAAAAAACAGATAAAGATACCATCTTTTCTTTAATTCTTTTTGCCTAGGAGAAAGAAGAAATTATAGAATGGACATTTATTCTATGCTAAAACTTATACCTACCTTAAAGGGGGCAAATCACTATTAAACTTAGTTCAATGGAGAGTGTACTTCAGCAAAGTCTCACACAGAGCATACCTTAAAACTCGTACTAATTACATTTCATTAACAAGTCAGCAAGTGCATAATTAATTCAGCTTTCGTAAGAAAGTAACAAATAAAGACAGGGTATAGACCAACAAAAGGACTTACTTATGTACTGTCTCCTTGAACTTCTCTTCATCCAAGAACTGCAGGATCAAGAAAACCAGTTCTCGACTCAAGGACGACATAGTGACGCCTCCAGGCAACCCCAACCACTCCAGCTCAAATCTACATAAATAACCGCAGAAAATGAACAGTAAGGAACCTCTTAAATTTAACCAATTGTGTACAAAGCACAAGTCCTTTCGCTCATTACAGTATTCTCTAAAACCAGATATAGCTTTAACGAATTGAGATGTTCAAGTTTCCTAACAACATCAAACATAATAGCAGTTATAAACGCAGATAATTCTGTAGTTAAAAGGGGCACATAATATACTTCAAGAATTCTAGTTATTTCAATTCGAAGACAATACAAAGCTTCGTTCTTTTCTGCCTTCCACAACAAAATATTCCAGCAAAAAATCCTTTCTAAATTTCAGTCCCACCCAAAAATAATTAAAAATATTAATTCATTCGTCAAGACACAGCAACAAAAAAATATAATTTTCATTTTTGACCATCGAACATTCAAAATTCAAAACTCAAAATACCAGTAAAGTATCAGAAAAAGCCCACCTCTGTTTTTCTCTTTACAAATTCTTTCCTTTACTCAATACCTGCAAAAGAAGAAAAAATGGTACTTTTCCCAGATCTGGGACACNCTGTTTTTCTCTTTACAAATTCTTTCCTTTACTCAATACCTGCAAAAGAAGAAAAAATGGTACTTTTCCCAGATCTGGGACACATTTCCTAGTAAACTAAAAGAAGAGTTCACTTAAAATGATCCAGATTTCAACAATGCACAAAGGGCTAGGGTTTTCATTGGTCGTAGAAAGAGACCTTTCTACACTCTGTAGTCTGTACTCTCTCTCACTCTACACCGTGTGTACAGATATATATCTAAAATTTGTTTCTCTTCCAAGATTGTCGTGTAACTGCTTGTTCAATCAATGAGTTGAATTTATAATTTTTTTCTGTTTCCGTGGAGTATTAAGTCCATGTTGGACTATCGTTATTTGAAAATATATATATATTTTTTAAATAGTAAATTTTAGAGTAGCGCACGAATAAAAAGTATAGAAAATTTTTAAATTTGTTTATAAAATATTTTATTTTGTAAATATTTATATAAAAATGTATATATAAAAAAAATTTAAATAATAATTATCAAACAAAGATTAAGTCCTTGCTTGAGCCTCATTCTTTTGCAAAAATTTATTTTTCAACAATGTTTTGATATCATTTCAATCACATATTTTTCAATAAAATAATATTACTTGTAAATCCAAAATTTTTTCTTATTTTTTAACCACACATTTTCCATCAATACACTATTCAAAAATTCATTCTACCCCAAAAATGGAACTCAAACAAGGGCGAAAGCGAGTGATAGCTAAAACCCAAAATGTCAGGAAAATGTATGGATGTGATTAGTCAGCTGTAGCCTTTTATTGGTTGGCCACGTCGAGATAATTGATTATCCACACTTAAGGACGGCTCTTTTTCCCAATGTATATAATCTACAAAAGAAAGTGAAAGTGACTTCAAATTATTCACGACAAGTTTGACTTAGTTATATTTACAAGTTTACTAACTAAGGTCTCGTTTGGTACTCATTTTTTTTCAAAATACATTTTTTTCTCTTTTCTTTTTAACCACATATTCTTTATTAAAATAATATTACATATAAATCAAAAGGGTTTTCGCATTTTTCAACCACACATTTTCCATCATTTTACTATTCTAAAGTACATTTTTACATAAAAATGAGTCTCAAACACTCTCTAAAAAAAGAAAGGAAACAATACACAATTACTAAACTTTAAAAATCACGTTTCACAACCAATAATTTTACAAAATACTTTTATAAATCAGGTGACAATTTCAATTAATAATATATATACAACAAACATATATATCCACCCAACCCAATTTTAGGGAACTTTACAGGGAACCTTTTTGCCTTCAAAAATTTAAAAGCTCTCTCTCTCTCTCTCTCTCTCTCTCTCTATATACATTTACAAACACAAATAGAAATTCCCAATTTTAGGAAACCTTTCAAAGAAAATTGAAGACTACAGAAATTCAAAACGCTTTCTCTTTCTACAAAAGCTTTCTCTCTCTATATATACATTTACAAACACAAATAGTTTTGCAGGTGGTGATGGTGATGACGTAGCAACTATGTTTATGAAATAGATTTGCGTTGTGGCAATGATAGCATGTAATAATAGTGCATTAGAGTTAATCCGTGTGGTGGTAGTGGTAACAACGTTTTGGGTACTGTACGACAACAATATTGGTGCATTGTATGTGACCAAATTTGTGGCTAACTTTGTTATTTGTAACCATATTTATTGTTTATGACTATACATGTATTATCTGTGATTAATTATGACCAAATTTGTTTTCAGTATGATTATATGTAATCAAGTCACTAACTTGTGCTATTTGTGACTAACTATGATCAAATTTATCTTTAGTGTCTGTGACTAAATCAATCTAATTTGTGATTGTATGTAACTAAGTCATTAACATGTATTATCTGTGACTAACTGTGATCAAATTTATCTTAAGTGTGATTGTCTGTGACTAGATTAGTATAATTTGTGACTATACGTAACCAAGTTGCTGTTAATTTTATCACATATAGTCACGGTTTAAGACAATTCCGATAACATACAGTCGTAATGAGGATAGACTTGGTCATAATCGATCACAATTAACACAAATTTAGTCACTGAGGGTCATAACTAACATATAAATGACCACCACCACCGCACCACCATTATAAATTATATTTGACCAACTAATAAACTTTAAAAATCGTGACCAAACATACTCAAAGAAAATTGGGATGGGGGAAAACAAACAAGGTAAAGAGACAGAAAAAGATGAGATTAGTATAGTTGATTTATTACTGAAAGACAAAATTGTACATAAAATTTTGTATAGTCCTTGAGATATAGTTGTATTTCACTGCTCATGATCCAAAATTGAAGGGAAAGCAAGGAAATAATGACAAACAGGGTGAATCGAGAGTTCATTACAGACAAAATAAAATCAACGCTTAATGATAGGGATTATAATTAAAAATAAACTATATAATCATTGTTTTTTAAGTTTGGGGTGTTTATTTTGAAGCATTGATTGGACTCGATACCTTTTGTTTTCATGATCAAGATTTCAAAATTAGTTTATGAACTCTATACTTTTTATTTTTCTTTCATCATTATGAGTTGTTAAATTCATAGTGCGAACAATATAATCTATATGTGACTCTTTATTTCTTCTATTCAAAATTCTAGTTCTTTAAATGCATATGTGTTGATTTTAATTATGTACTTAATGTTTTATATCTTTAGCCAATTATTCAATGATTTTGTGAATCTATTACGAATTGAAATGGAAGTTATAAATTTAGACCATATATTAATATTTAATAATTTAGTATAATGTGTAGATACATATACTAATTATTGTGATTGTTAGATAAATTCTTAAAACTTATATTTCATTTAACTGAAATTGATTCGCATAGAGATACGATATTGAATTAGCTAAATAGACTCAATTAGAATTCGAAATTGGTAAATTGAATGCTTTAAAATAATTAGATCGAACACTAAAATTGTAATGAATCTTGTTTGGCGAATTAAAAGGGATCCATAGGTAACATTGTAAGTCCTAGCATCCATATTCATACTTTTAAAACTCAAATTTTATAAGTTGTGTACGTTAGATAATTTAGTTTAATTAGAATAATTTAGATACCTATCACAAAACTTATTATTGTTTTCGATCAAATTAAAGTTAAGAATAATTGAACAAATTTTTAAATAACAGTCCTCGTGGGAATGACATCCAGACTTATAAATCCACTTTATTACTTGTTACGATCCGTACACTCGTAGGATGTAAAAATCGACAACAGGTTTTGCACCGTTTCTGGGGATTTTATTTAATTTTGGTTTTAATTATTTCTTTCTTTTGTTTGACTTGTTTTATCTATTTTTTTCAATTGATCTACTTTTTTTTTTTTTGCTCCATTGACAGGGAATTAAAAGAAGTAAGAGATCAAAAATTCACAATGATTGATCCCAACTTAAATGAAGATGACATGCTCTTTGGAGAATTTATATCCATACAAGAACTGAAAAAGTGATGATATGATCAGCCCATTGTATTTGATAAGGATGGCTTTACGAAAGGATTAAATATCAAATATATTGTTTATAGGGAGATTAAACTAACATATGAATATTTTGATGCATTGCACTGTATTAAAAGTTGCATGTTATTGGCAACTCTAGAGGAAGTAACGAAAGCTATCTTCGATAGTCCATATGAAGAACAAGACAATGATGGTGAAAGAGTTACGAGAGACATTATCACTCAAAAATATAAAAGGATTGAAGATCAAGTAATTTCAAATGAGCTAAATAACAAGCTAATGGAAGATCTCTTCATTATTCAACCCAAGCAACCAACTAAAGAAAAAGAACATGTTGAAACGAATAGATTAATTACAAATGAGTTAAATAAATTAGTGGCATTCAAAGAATATGAAATTAGTATGCAAACCTCCAACTTCATTTATTTTGTGATTAAAATCAATGAGAAAATTGAATATTCTTAATCGAGTTTGAATTGGATAATTTAGGCAGGCATACCATATTCAAAAGGGCAAAGTATGATTTTGACGGACGTGTGAAATATGGAACAAAATCAAATTAAACAAGCTAAGCAAGACCTCCAAAGCCATATTCAACGTGTCATGAAGTGCTTGTACAGAAGTCTACCTAAAGATTCTAAATTAAACGCTTATTGGGAGGCAGCCCAATTTCTTACCCTTCTATTTATTATACGTTTTGTATTTGCATTGCATATAATTTATTAAGGTGCATTAGTTTTAGGCATGTTTTGTTTCGACAGGAGAGTCGTCAGATCTATATTAAGTCTATTAAAAGAAAATCTTATATTTAAGTGAAAAATAGTAGAAAATACATGTGACACATTTTTCAAATTCCAGGAATGTAAAAAAAAATGGTTATCCTACACGTTACATTATTACATTTAAATTGCTCTTGGCTCTCATATTTGTCTTCTTTTATCTTTTAAATGTATGGATATCAAGCAGGAGGCAACTTAGCAAAGAATGGAATGAGCTGATCCAACAAACAACCTCGAATATCATAAGGAAAATCTGGAAAGTACATTCTTCCTTCTTTCCCGCCCCTTTATGTGTTAGATTATATTTAAGATATTAAGGACAGTACCTATTTTAAGTTTGGGGTGAAAAATATTAAGCCCCCATTTGTTTCCCATTATTTACTCATTAAAATGAAAAATATGACCGTTATCCATTACATCAAGCCACCATATTGAATATTTATTTATTGTGTAGGACCCGTAACGACTATATTTTTCATTCTCATTCTTATATTAATGTGGCTCAAACGAAGACTAAGTTTTTAGTTTTATCATTCTTCTGTGATTGAGTGTTTCTACTTTTTTATCATATAAAAAAAATTGAAAAGATTTTATTGTTTATTGAATATGTTAATTTATGAAGTGTGGATATGTTTACATTTTCTTGGATTAATTAATTCTTATCCATGTAAAACTTGACACTGTTTGCACACGTGAATTATATTT